AGATTCCAACTCCAAAAAAAAAAAAATGAAGCAGTCCATAGAATATTCAGGTGTTAGAATTCACATACAAAATCTTTAAAATAACGATTGAAAATATGTTAAATAAATTAATGGAAAAGAAATACTAAATAGAATAAGAGATGCAGCATCCAAAAGAGAAATGGAATCTTAAGGAACAGGAGGAGAAAGAGGAGAAAGAAGAAAAAATAAAGAGAATGGCATTGTAGAACTGAATGATAAATATACAAAATTAAGGTGGGCTTAATGGTATACTATTAACAGAAGAAAAGAGAATCTATGCACTCAAAGGCACAATAATAAAAATTATCCAAGCTGAAGGAAGGAGAGAAGAAAGGAATGAAAGATAAAACTAAACATGGAATTAAAAAGCAAACAAGATGATGTTAAACAGTCTGACATATGTTTAAATAAAGTCCCAGAAAGAGAGGAAAAAGAATAGGGGAGAAGAAATATTTGAAAAGACATGACCAGGAATTTTTCAAAATTAATATTTTAAAAGTTAGCTCACATGTTAAAAATTTTAGGTAATGCCAAGCAGGATGAACACAAAGAAAATAGCACCTAGAAAATTGCTGTAAAGCAAAAATAAACAGAAAATTTTCAAAGCAACTTGAAGAAAAAAAATATTCAAGAAAAGCATAGTAAGAATAATGACCAACTGCTCAGAAACAATGAAAGTCAGAAGATGATGGAATGGTACCTATAAACTGCTGAAAATAAAAACCTGCCACCTTAGAATTCTATAACCAAGGTAGATACTATTATTACCCTCCTTACAGTTTATATAAGAATGAAATAGGTTAATACATAAACCGCTTAGATCAATACCTGACCCACAGTAAACACTAAAGTAGTGTTACATAGAATAAAGTAGTTTTACATAGAATAAAAACTACACAGCATTTTGAATTGTAAATGACTACAATCCCTCTTGAAAAAAAATATTGCCTGAAGGAAATGGAACAACATCATAACATAACAAGATGATATTTATTTTCTTCATACTTTTCTATAAGCAGGAGCTGTCAATTCTATTTAAAAAGGGACAACTTTACTAGAAAGTGTGCTACATGAAAACAGGGACTTTGTTTAGTTCACTGCTGTTCCTTAGCACCTAAATGCTACATGGGTAATCTGTAAATAATCTCACACCATGGATATGAGAAAATCTTTTTCTGATAGTAATTTATAACATATGTGTTACAACTCTGAGTAGACAAGCAAGAAAAAAAGGAGGGACAATTAAAATTTAAATAAATTTAAATTCTTTGAAATTATGGCTGGATGCACTGGCTCACACTTGTAATCCCAGCCCTTTGGGAGACTGAGGCAGGAGAATCACTTGAGGCCAGCCTGGGAAACATTTTGAGACCACATCTCTATAAAAAAATTTTTTTTAATTAACTGGCTGTGGTGGTATGTGCCTGTAGTCACAGCTACTTGGGAAGCTGAGGTGAAAGGATCGCCTTAGCCCAGGAAGTCAGAGATGCCATGAGATGCCATGAGTAGTGGTAGTGACACTGCACTACAGCATGAGCGACAGAGTGATACCTCAACTCAAAAAAAAAAACTGGCTTGTTTGCACAAATATACGTAATTCTGTAAATGCTTTTATATCTATGGTGCAGATATCAACTCTTTGACTCTTTCATTTTCAAAAATCTACAAGGAGGAAAGTAACGGCATCATTTTATTTCCTTTATCCTAAAAGCTTTAGTGTTTCTTGTAATTAAGATACAAAAGACTTTTTCTTTTTGAGGCTGAAAAATTGAATTAAGAAGAGAAGCATTCAAGCCATATTTAGAAACCCAGAATCTGAAGTGTTTAGAAGCAAATCTTCTATGCTACTCATTGCAAACCAAGAGTATTTTAGAGTTAAAGGGATATTTAGAGATCATCATCCCTGCACATTGCAAATGACCAAATTGAGTCCCAGGAGGTCACAGTGCTAATTAGAAACAGAGCTGGGGCTAGGACCCAGGACTTTTCTTTGACATTCAAAGTTTGTTTTTAATGGACTTTGGCTTTGTCAATTTTTCTTTAAAGGCCTCCTTTGCTTTCTTCATGCAAACCCTTTCTCTATTAAATTTCCCCTACTAATGGGTGTCAGATATAGATTTAGACCAGTATCAGAACTCTTTCCGGGAATCCACTGGAAGAATTACACTAAATCAAAAACTGTAAGAATTCTATGGGTAAATACCTTTGAGCACATAAGAAAGATTTTAATTTGCAGTAATCCTAAAGAGAGGTGAAGCTGGTACCCATAAATTACTACATTTGTCTATTGAATCAATGGATGAATTTGATGTCAGTATGGAGAAAGCTACAATTTGAGCTTAAAAATCAAGGCTTTTAAAAACACTATTCACAAATACATCATTTAAGAAAAAAATAATGACTACTTATCTAAAAAGTAAATGACAAAAAATTTTATGATGTCTAGTGTAAGTGCACATGTTTTCCTCCATTCATCAACATTTTCTTTTCTCTTACTAACTTCTTCCTTTTCTCCTAATTAGAGTTTCTAGAATCTGACAGATATATTCTGAAAACCAAGGGATTGTTTTATTTTATTTTATTTTTTATATCTTATTTTTTAGATGTCGGGTACAATTCAGGATTAGGTATACAAGTGGACATCATACAGGTAAAGTTTGGGCCTCCCTTTGGTCCCCATTTTGCCTGGTTCGAGAGCAGGTACCCTAATTGTTGTGTTCCCACCTCCCACCCTGGCAGTATCCTACTACTGCCAATTCTTTTCTTATAGTATTATGGTAAATTCAGGGTCTGCTTGTGAGTGAGAATATATGGTACTCTGTTCTTTGTTTCTGTGATAGATCACTGAGTATTATAGATTATTTTCAATTGGAAAAATGCAAATATCATATCATACCTACTTATTAATTCCTTTTCTTCTAGTACACACATATTCAGGCTAAGCCAAAATGTAACTCTTTTAAATACCTCATCTATTTGATTTGTTTTTTGTCTTTACAGTTTGTCAAATTATTATTATTATTTTTTGTTTTGTTTTGTTTTGTTTGAGTTGGAGTCTCCCTCTGTCGCCCAGACTGGAGTGCAGTGGCCGCTCCTGGCCACCGCAGCCTCAACCTGCTGGGCTCCGGCGATCCTTCCGCCTCAGCCTTCCAAGTAACTGGAACTACAGGCGTGCACTACCACACCCAGCTAATTTTTTGATTTATTGTAGAGCGACAGAGTGATACCTGGTTTTGCCTGCCCAGGCAGGTCTCGAACCCATGGGCTCAGGCAATCCACTTACCTCAGCCTCCCAAAGGCGCGGGATTACAGGCTGAGCCACCGAGCCCGGCTTGTCAAATTATTTTAGACACTTTATTTCCTGCAAAATGGTCTACCTCTAGCCAGTTTTCTCCCCCACTTAACCTTTCAGCCAGGCACGATGCTATATGACTTAGAGTGATGTATCATTATTATCACCACCAATTTTAGAAAATGAGTTTGCTTTAGGATCAACCTGAGTTGACCTTAAGCCTTTTATTTTTAATGGGAAATACAATTACAGACGATGCCTAGGGAATTACTTCAAATTTTCCAAGCTTGCTTGTATAATCTGCCACTGTTCACATTCATCACCTGCTTCATAACAAAATGTCTCCGAGCATCACAAACTTTTCCAATCTATTTGAACTTTTCTCCGTTGCCCTATGTAGAGACTTAATCATCTTTCAATCATAGTGGTATTGCATTGTTTTGATTATTAAAGGGAAATTATTCTGACACTTTTCTGAAGTGGTAAGGAAGATTTTATTTAAGGCTATTGCAATTGGGGTCAAGACTCTTGCAACAAAGGGAGAGAGCGAAGTCAACTCCAAATGCAAATTGGTGCAAGTAGGGATTTAGGGCCAGCAGGCAGGGTGAGGTAGAAGATGAAAAGTTACTAAGGGAAAACTGCTTAAGGAATCAATGAGGGGGGCGGGGGGAGAGGAACTTGATTAGATATCAAGAGCAGGGGCAATTATCAATAAACTGGCTTAGCAGGATTCTTTGCTAAAACCAAGCCCAGCAGATCAATGCCAAGGCCGAGTCCAGAAGAGGTCTCAGAGAAGCCTGATGAAAGGCTGGTCAAGGAAGAAGTCTTTGTCACCTTAATCTATCAAACTTGAAGGCATCCATTCATAAGGCACACCTTAGAATGCTAGAGTTTCTGTACTAGTTCTTGTCTAGTTCTAGAAAATAAGTTCCGCCATTACAATAATGCTATTATAGATAACTGATACCAGCTGTCTTCATCAGAACAAAATTTTTTAGTAGAATTGCATGCACAGTGACAATTTGTTCCAAATGAAATCTAGGAAATCTGATCAACCTCAGAGGATGATGAAAATATTTGTAATATTTATATTGTGCTTACTCTTTGCCAGGCATTGTCCTGAATCATTTATATAATTTAATCCTTTGAATCTCTCTGACTGTCTCCTCAGGGAAGTACTATTATGATCTCCATCCCAGGATTACAGACAGAGAAACTGAGGCACATAGCAGTTATGAAGCTATATGAGTTCAGAGTTACTCAATTAAGATATGTCAGGTTTGTGATCATAACCTAGCAGCATGACTTTTGAGAATGTGCTCTTAACCACTGTGCATTCCTGCTTCTCTAAAATCTCTTTTCCTCCCTTTTTCTGAGGAAACACACAGAACTGGGAGGTAGGTAGGGAAGGGAAGTGGAATGACATATTTGTGGAAGTCCATATATTTTCTCACATTCTTCCCATTCAGAACTCCTTGTCTTCAAAACATAGTGCAGTGCTTAATACAGAGTAGGTCATTAGTAATTTTTGTTATTGGATAAATAACTGATAGAATGAATTGACAAGATGACTGCGTATTCAGATCCCAATCACCAAAGAGAGAACCAAATTAGGTTTCTCAAACTCTGGCATGCTGAGGACTGTGATGGCAACATTTTAGAGCCAGAAGGCATAACCTGTGTCTCGCAATACAAACATGATTGCAGATATCCATGGGAAGCCCAGCCCACAGAGCCCAATTCAGCTTGGGGTGAGCCAGACCTCAGGCATGGGGATATAATGGTGTGATGAACCTTTCTTCTAGAGTTTCCATAGCTCTCCTGATGAAAAGCTGCCGGTTTGGGATATTGTGAGAGCCTGTCTCATTGCTCTTTGAGAAGTAATTTAAATTCTTCTGTCACATTTTCTGTTCAGTTTTTATTCATACCTTCTGGTCTTAGAGGAACCTGAAGCCAGAGAAATAAGACAAAAAGGTAAGAGAAAACCAAGCAATGAATGCAGTCTCAGATGTTGCTATTCATAGAACTGACAAGCCAAGTGAGTCTTAGGGTGAGAGACTGGTCTTTTTAACTCATTTACACTTTTCCTTGGTCTCCACCATAGCTCATCAAAACTAATTTATCCTAAGAAATCAATGATTAATTTTCTGCGAAGCAGAATCAAGAAATGTGCAATGTCCTACCTACATTGGTTAAAAATAAGTACTTGTTTCACCTTGTGCTGTTAAATCCAAGCCAAATAATTGTTGCAAGTTATTTAAACATTTTTGAATGAAGAAAAATTGAAAAATTTCCCTAGGACTGCATGACATGAAATGCTGAACTTTTTAAAGGGGGGTTGGGAGAAGGAGTGGAGGAAGATAGCTGTTTCTAGCCTCTGAAATGCAATTCCGCAGTGTGTGTATCACCAAGTGTCGTTTTGGCACATCTGGTGCACATTTATGGTCTAAGGTTTTCATATGGTATTCAAACATAGATTAAAGTAGAGGGGAACTTGAGAGCTCCAGGGAAGAATATGATATTTCAATTGCATTTGATCATTTTATTGAATTTGCCTAGAAAAATCAATTAAAACACAAAACTTTCATACTTAGAGCAAAGATTATATATTCCAGCTTGTGCCTGACAATAGATTTTTGGTTTTTGTTTTGCATTTATTAATCAACTCCAAAGTACTCAGAAGGCTGATTGCTCTATTCTTTTGGGTATGGGGGAATTGGAACAGGGCCTTTTCCAGAAACATTTCGCCTCACTTTTTTCTTCATCTGGTTTCTCCATGGGACATGTTCTAATCTTATACACACCAAAGTAGTGACTTCTTAGACTTAAGTGATTTTTTAAAAGCTATTAAGAGTATATTTAAATTGCAAAGTGCAATATTCAATAGTATGAAAGACATTTGATTATACAGGACAACTGAAGAGCTACCAAATGAATATTAATTGCCTTATGTCCTTCTTTGAAGCAAGGGTACATAAAAATAACATGAATTAACAAGCAGTTAGTTAACTTTGTAAATAAGAAGCTGTTGGGCCACTTGCTTAGCCTCTTTGAGCCTCAGTTTCTTATCTGTCATAAAGATGCCTGCCTTTTAGGATTGTTATAAGGATTAAATGAGATAACACATTACATGTGAAGCCCTTCGCAGACGTCTTGCCACAAAAAACTAATAGCTATTGTTGTTACCATTATTATATTATTATTGTTGTTGATCAAAGCTTACAGTTATAGAACAGCACCAATTACATAATGCTCTAAAAAATTAACATACTTTTTTTTTTCCAATGGGAAAATTGGATGAGGGGTTGTGGAGTGAGTTGAGGTAATACTTTTTCTAGTCAGGATTTGTCTCAAGGAAGGATCTGGTCTCAAATCCCGGGCCTTTCTGGCTACCCAGTAAAACAGTGGGACAAATGCTGATGTGGAAACTCTAAAATAAATAAGTAGCAAAGGCTAATGTAGGTAATCATATTCTTCCTGGACAAGAGCTCCCATAGGTTTGCTCAATATTAGTGCACCTCCAGGCACCTTGAGGCCTCACTGTGTTTCAGTTCCAAAAACGATTGCAGCTCCCTTATTTCCAAACCAAATAATAGCACGTGGAGGTAAAAGTGCATTCTCTACTCCCTAGAGAATACCTGGCCAGCATCATCTTACTCTATTCATAAAGGAGAGGAGACTATATGGTCCTGGAGATAGAAGTCCCCCTGGGCTGAAATTGCTGCTATTTCTCTTATCAATCAGAAATCAATCAGGACTTACACAAATAACTTAAGCTCTCTGGCCTGAGCAATCCCATGTGTTATCTCATGGAGTTATTGTAAGGATTTTATGAGAAAATAATTGCATGATGAATGGGACATTGTCTGCTACGTAGTATGTGCTCAATAAATGTTAGTGATTCTTACTTTTTTTTTGGTTGGACAATGTTTGCACTGAGATGTTAGATATCATTCTGGTTTTATTATATGATTTTCTCCATGAGTTTATTTGACTCAGAGAAAGGTGACTGGGAGAAAGGAATTAGAAGTCTTGTTCCCAAAATCTATAATCAAGCCTCTGTACTTGCTCATTTATTAACTTAAATAACATAGGATCTGAGAATGAGCTTCAGATTTAAACTGTTGTCCTTTTCACTTCTAATAATGAAGGTACGAAAAGTACCTTTGTTGCTAAAGGACCTCTAAGAAATTTTTAGCAAAAATATGTATGTAAATTTGCTCTGGGAAGAAAAAGGTTTAAACTATAGCAATCTTTTTCAAAGTATTTCAGAAGCACAAACCTATTTGTGATGGTGAGCTACTTCCAAAATGAAATTGTAACCCATCCAAAATACTTTTGATTTAGTACTGAGAAGTGGTCATTTATTTTTATATCCTTCCACTCATCTTATCAGAGAGCTTGGTTATGTATCTAATTTTTGCACTTTTTTTCATTCACCTTGAAGTCACTTTAATCCTAATCCCTGGAGCCTGTGAGTAGACTATCGAAATTCCTCTAACCAGGTTTTTTGTGAAGTGATATAAGACACTACTGAATTCTTTTAGAGCAAAATTTAGAACCATTTGAGAAGATGGTGGAGCATAATATAAAACACAGTGAGATGGTATGTTTGTAAGAACATGGAACAGACAATACTTTTTGAAGACGTATTTTACTTAGATGCTTTAAAAGCAAGATAATATAAAGTTTAAAACAGATGTCACTTTCCCTTTTATAAGGGGATTCTTTTTTCTATCTTTGTGAGGAATGAGAAATTTTTTAGAGTTTGGAAGTGCCTAGATTACTGCAGGACACCCTATGTCTATAAGTGTTATAGTTCTGGTTTCTGGTGTTTGTCATGAGATTTGGCTACTTCATTGCCAAGAGCGGGAAAACATTTTGTCTAAGGCATTTAATTGGTAATTTTATTAGGTTACTAAAAAATTTTGAAAGGGAATTTAAATTAGAGGAAAGAGAAACACTATAAATATATCTGAAACAAAATATTCTCAGTATAACACTATTTCTGATACAATGGTTTCTTCTTATCTATCCAACTCCTGACATGCATTTGTCTCTTTCATTTTTCTTAGGGTCAATAACAATGAATGGAGAATTTTAGTTATGAGTAAGAAGCAGGTCCCTTTTCTTTCATAATTGCTTTTCTATTGACCAGATACTCTATATATTAACAGCATTTGCCCCAAGGTTTTCTGGGCATCTTTTTTTTTTTTTTTTTTTGTCATTTTGCCAGCTGTTACACACAAATATAACAACTGATTGTCTCTAGGCAGTTTTACTGAAACAAATTGCCTTATTAACCAATCAATTCTTCAATAATACTGTGAAATAGACAAATATTGAAAAAGCAGCATTCTCTTGACTGCAAGAAAAATGTGTTTTCCAAAGAATTTTTATGTTACATTTAGTTTCCCAGGGCATTTAAAGTCTGCCTGTTCTAGACTTAACATTAGAGCAGAATAATAGCCAAAAACGATGTACATTTCATTGGTGTACTTTGCTAAAGTCAAAAAAAATTGGCTTCCATTTTTCCTTTCAAAATGCAGATTTTTCAAACTTTAGTACCTTTGCTAACCTAATTTTCTAAGCAAAATATTCCCATAGTCCTGCATTTCAATTTATGACATTGGTTGTTTTGCTTCCAAATGAAACCTCCCAAAAAGGTCAAGATTTTAAAATTATTTAATATTTAAAATCTTCGGGTGATGCTTCTGTTCTCTCTCTGGGGAATTCTACTTCCTCTCTTAAAATTACAATTAAAAGATTTAAATTTTAAACAAGTTTTTTTTTTTTTTTTTAATAGAGATAGCGATCTCACTACGTTGCCCAGGCTGGTCTCAGACTCCTGGGCTCAAGCAGTCCTCCTGCTCCACCTCCCAAGTCTGGGATTACAGGCATGAATCACTGCACCTGGCACAAGTTATTGTTTTTAAGTATTGTATTATCAAAAAATTTCATTAGAGAAATTTGCCATAGGATTGATTATTTTTGTAATTATTTATTCAAATTTGTTTCCATCATATTCTGGCAAATCTTAATCTGTCCTGAAGTGTGGATGACCCTGATGGGCATTCTGCATATCAGGACGAAACTCACAAAAGAATGTCTTTAGTTTAGGCAGAAGAAAAACACAGAGACTGTTAAGGGTTTTTTGTTGTTGTTGTTTTTCTTTTTTAAACTCAGCAATGTTCTTTCTGTAGTTATTCAGTTTTGACATTCTCTGCAGTTAGGTCAACAAGGTTTGTTTTTAAAAGCATTTTCACCCATGAAAGAGTATATTCTAAAGCTCATCTTTCTCACTGCATAGGGCAAGCTGAGTTTCAATTTGAAGTTTACCTGCTGCATGATAATTGATGTATTTTGGAGTTATAGTCTGTTTTTAATTTTTCTATTGATGATGAAACAAAATAAAATAAGGTATGAGGCTCCTGAAAGGTATCTGGAATTTTTTTAATGGATTCATTTGAAAAACTGAGGTGTGAGGCTTGGAAATCTGATTTTTAAACAAGCTCCACAGGTGACCCAGACGGGAATCATTATTCTGGCACTCCCACGTTAAATCCATGATCAACCTTCTGATAATTTTCTCTCTCAATTTAAAGAAAATACAATGAAAAGTAAAGTAGTTTTGAGGAACAAAAATAAATTGGTGGGTGAAATGAAAGTGCCAGAAACTAAAAAATGAAAAAAGGACCAAATCCACTTGTTCTTTGATTCATTCATTCATTCATTCATTCAAGAAGTCTTATTAAGTGTCTACCAAGTGCTGGGCTCTGCAGTAAGTTCCAAGGAAACAACGATGAGCAAAAGCAGACAGGGTTCCTGCCCTCATGGGGTTTAAAGTCTAGTGAGGGAGCAATTTTAATCCCTACATCATACAGATAAGCATAACATTACAACTATATTAAGTGCTACCAAGGAAGGGCATATGAAAAGGGCTTATATTATCAATTAGACAGAACCCTAGAGGT